GGCACACATATTGGTTCCAGTTTTTTGGATTAGACTTGTGATTTCATTAGCAACTTTTGGTGAGAAAACATCTCTAAATAATGCAGATCTTTATCTGTTCTGCAATTTGCACTGTGAGGGAGTTGTCTGGGAGTGCTTACTTGCCAATTACTTGCCAGGTTCTCATAGCCAGTATGTGTCAGATGGGGGACTGGAACCCTAGTCTTCCTGATTCTGAAGTTAGCTATACTTCACTATAACACACTGCCTCTCTCGTTGACTTTTTCTTACACAAAAAGTGTTGTTATGAGTATATATATACATATATATGTATATATATATATATATAAAACCTTTCTCTCTCTCTCTCTCTCTCTCTCTCTCTCTTTCTCTCTCTCTCTCACCAATATTTTCCTACTAATATGGCATGGCTGTGATACCACCCTAAAAACAAAAATTGCTAACAAAAACTACAAATAACTCAATGAGCAATATAAAGACACACAGTGAGCTTAAATATATAGTCAAATATTACTAACTATGGTTTGCTTGTGAGATATGGCATAAAAGATATTATCAAGGATATGTATGACCAGAAAAGGGAGTGGACTGGTTGTGTAGTAACAACTGGAACCAACAGATGAACATCTAAGCAATACATTGGTACTACCAAAGTATTAAAGGTATCAGATGCCAAAAGAAATAGAGAACCATAGAATTTCAGAGATAGTTACTGGATTACTTGGTCCAACCCTTTTACAGATGAGGAAAATCAAGTGCAGAGAAGTAAAATGAGAGGTCAAATAACTAGACTGAAAGAAGAGAGGATAAAAAGCTCTAGCATGTTAGGTTTATGGGAGCCCTGATGGAGGATTTATGGGAAACCAGACAACAATTACAGAAGATGAGAAGTGGAAGAGGGAAAAAAATGGAATTAAATTGAAGATAAAGAGAAAACAAGTCACTGAGTGAAGAACAATGTGACAAAAGATAAATGGGTTGAAGATCTTAAAATAATTGTGAATTGTCTATGCTTTTAGTCAATACTAGGAAACAAAAGATTTATCAATTTTATTTCTTCCCAATACATAAAAATATTTTAAAGTTAAAATTAATGTAATAAAAGTGATATTTGATATCAATAAGATTTTGATTCTTACTAAACCAAAATTAGAAAGTAACAGAGAAATCCTTTGAGAATTGTAGAGTCATAGGGTTTCAGTGCAGGAGGTAATTTTGGAAATTATGTTGTTTATCTTCATTTTGCAGGTGAAGAAATGTTGTCCCGGTGCTGGTAAATGTGTATATATGGTAAAGTTAGTCTCTAGGAACTGATTAATGCTAAATTACAATTCACAGCAGAGATCTGAATGGATATGAAAATAGGGTTTTAGCATTATTGACACCTATAGATATATTGAGTGCATTATTATTAGTATATTTCATATTAAAAGACTACTATAAGCCCAAGGCTTTAAGAAAGAAATTTTAAAAAGCAAAGTAAGTACTTTAAAACATGATCTATTTTGTTTCCAGATCTAAAAGGTGACTTGGATAGAAGTAAAATATGGAACTCCTGACATCTTGTGGTGCTTCTGTGTATTACTATGTGAACATTTTTGAAAATTGTTCAATGAATCCATGAATCCAAAATAATAATGATGATGATGATGATGATGATGATGAAGATGAGGATGAGGATTATGATGATAACAAAGGATTAAACATAAGGGGGTAAATTATTTTATAATGCATGAATGCATTGTTATTTAAGCCCTATGTGGACAAGAATGTTTTTGCTTTTCTGCATAGCCTTAGCATTTAGTATAGTCTACAGTACATAGTAAGCACTTAATAAATGTTTACCTATTGCGTGATTGATTGAAAATTGAAAATAACCTGATTTGCTGCAAATAACTCCTTAGCAGAAATACCATTAATCAGAGCTGCGCAGGTATACCGACACCTTAGTCATCTTGTACTTATTGGTCACAAGTAATAATATTTTTCACTCTAATTTCTTGTTCCTCACCTCTTGTCTAAACTTTACCAGCTTTCTGCAGTTGTCTCGGGTTCTTGTTTGTCCTTCATGAATGCCCTGCTATTATCTTACCCAACTCAAATGAAGGCACATTTTTTTGTTCCTGGTCTCAGGCTCAATTGTAATACTTGTCCCTAGATATAAAAGTTCCTAGTGCAGCTGTGCTTAAAGGGTAAGACAGAAGGAAAAAAAAAGCAAACCTAAGGAATTCAAAGGGAATTAAATCATTATATGACACCAGTGCTTCCAATGCCAAAGGTATATCTGGAAGGAGTGTACCTAAATACATTCACGCCTTGTCCCCCATGTCTCACCTGTCTCCATCCTGCCTCAGCCTTTCCTTTCTCACATAAGAGGCTAGAGATTGCATTGCTCATGCCCTGTTACAACAGTTAGCTCACTTTTAGCTTAGGGCTGAGGTAATGGCCCTCAGGTCCACATGGTCCTTTTTCTCTGCTATTTTATGGAGTTTATGTAAGGAAAAAGTCACTAATTACAATTAATTCTAATAGCTCTGACCTCCCACATCACCCTGTTAGGAAATTCCTCACATTCAGAGGATTGACTCTGAATGTTTAATTTTTAATTAATTCAAATTTTGTCTATTTCCCATTAACCCCTGGCTTCTTTATATTTGGGGCAAAATCAAGACACAGAAAACACTTAGGTAAAAGAATTAATCAGAGTGTCATAGTGCCTGTTACTGGACAGGCCGAGAGGGAAAGAGTTGACCTTTTGGAAGGTGCACTCAGTCCTTGAAGGGGTGAGTACAGTCAGTAGCTTTCAGTTAGAATTCTCTGTTCTGAGATCCCTCTTAGGGCCTCAATGGCCTACCTTGAGCTTTCGTTTCTCTGACATGTCTCATGTCTTCTTTCAGTTCCTTCTTTTGCCTGTTACTCCTGTGTTGCCATTTTTTTCCAGCTCAGCTCATTAAGCTCTGCACAAGGCTAATGATGCCATGTCCCTACTTTTTCTTGTCATCTCTCTCTTTCTCTCTCTATCTCTCTCTCTCTCTCTCTCTCTCCACTCTTCTCTCCCTCCCTTTTTCCTCTTCCCTCCACTTTCTCCCTCTTGCTCTTTCCCTTCTCTTTCCTTTTCTCCCCCTTCTCCCTCTCCCTCCTTTCTCCCCTCTTTTCCTCTCCCTCCCTCTCTCTTTCCATCCCTTCCCCTGTCCCACCTCCACCCCCTCTCTAACTTCTGATCTCAAGTCCCCCTGCCAGCTCAAAGATTAATTGCATTCAGGGCTGTGAGGGAATGCTTGTCCCCCTGAACTACAAGGTTCAGCATGCGACCCAGGTCTCAGCCCCCTATTATATGAGGAACAATAAGAAACTCTCAAGAATGAACTTCTGAAGACACAGAAGGTGAAACAGTTCCAATGAGGCAGAAAAATGGGAGTTGTTAGGAGAGATTGAAGTGGATGCGCAAGGAGCTAACCAACTAGCTTGGATTTAAAAAAAATTAGATATATGCAAAGTACTTGAGTATTAGACTATTTTCAGAAGAGGAGGTAACAGGAAGATTCTAAGAATAGCAGAGTCATGCAAAAATAGTGTCTGGAGGGCTAATACTTCTAGTGATCTGGAGGTTGAATGCAATGCCAAGCAAACAAAATGAGGGTTCTTTTAAAAGCTGTGCTGAGGAAAGAGAAGGATCATGGGATAGGCTTGCTAACTGGGGGTGGATGAGATGATGATGACTGACCACAGAAAGAGAAGGCAGAAGAGCTTGATTTTTTTTTGCTTGTTTTCTCTGTCAAAGTGGATGATTTTTGTACTAGAAATGACAGAACAAAAATGACTAACAGGAAATTTATTCCCAAGATAAGTAGTGAGATCAGATGAGAACACTTGGTTGCCTTGATGTTATTTCTTTCAGATATGAGATAGACTAGCTGACCCTTGAGTGCTCCTCCAACTCTAAATTCTGTGCTTCTCTGAATGGGGAAGGGAAAGGGAGGGAAGAAGCATTTGCTAAGCACCTACTGTGAACCAGGCATTGTGTGTCCCATTGTGTGTCTTACAAATAGTACCTCATTTGATCCTCACAACCACCCTGGGAGGTAGGTGCTGTTATTATCTCTACTTTCCTCCTTGAGGAAACAGGAACAGGCAGAGGTTAAATGACTTGCCCAGGGCAACATCGCTAGTAAATGTTTGAGGCTGGATTTGAACTCAGGTTTTCCTAACTCCCATGCCTGGCATTCAGTTATCTGTACCACTTAGCTACAAAGAAATATGGAAAGAACTTTATCAAAAAATGTAAAGTAAAAAAAAAAAAAACAAAATCAGAAAAACAAACTTTGCCCTGAATACATCAACAAAAAGAAGAAAGAGAGAGAGAATCAATGAACAAATAATCCTGATGGAACTCTTTAGAGGAAGTGATTGGAAAGCTGTATTATGTGTTGAAAGGACTTTGTTTAAAAGTCAATTATTGCCCTGTATTTCCATTAGTTGTATTGACTTGAGCTTCTAGAGGCAGCATGTTGTAGTGGGTTAGAGAGCAGGTCTCAAGAGTCAAGAAGACCTGAGTTCAGGTCCCCTCTCTGACACAGACCGGCTGTGTGACCCTGGGCAGATCATCTGATTTCTCCAGGTAATGGTCTGAGTCAATACGTTGCAGGGAAGATGCTAACCTGTATTAGTCAAGGAAGGTCTATGCCCTCTCTTGCCCCCAGCTCCTTAATAAAATGAAGGGTCTAGCAAAAAAATTTTTTAAGATAAATTATTATCCTTAATAAAGCCAAATTACTTTGTAGAACATTGATGGTTCCTTCTCACTGCAGCTAACTTTTGCATGCCTGTGTCAAGCCAGATAGGTCACAGTCATTACCAATGTGTCCTTTCTCAGGTCTGTGAGAAAAGGCACTACACTGAATTTCCTTTGTACATATTGGAAATTCCACACCGTCCCCATTCTGGAAAGAAAGAATATTTACTGTGAGCTGAGCAAGAAGACCCGTAAAATCACCAGGCTGGGGCCCTACACCCTGGACAAGAAGAGCCTTTACATCAATGGTGAGCAGCCAACCCTGCCCAGGACATGCAGTTCCTTGACCTCCATGCTTGGTCCCACTCCTCTTAGCCTCTCACCTGTCAAAGCAATTTTCTGTGCCTATGAGGATCCAGCTTTGCTTCCATGGCACCTGTCTTACTGAAAGTACCTTCCTATTATGTGTTTGGAGTCTGAGGGGAAGCAGAGGTCTCACAGAGGTAAGCCTAAGAACCCTACATGGGCAGATGGACTCCTGACCTGGGAACCACTTTGTGAAATCCTCTCTTAGCTGATGACCCATATTTTTCAGCTCTTTTGGCTTCAGATGCTCTCTCTCATGTTTCTCCTTAATCCTTTCTCAAAATCCTAGTCCCCTTCATCCATGGCTGTTCTCTCTCTCTGCAGGTTACAATGATCGAATAGCCCTCTCCTCCACCACAGGCTATGAGTATTCTTATCCTGGGGGCAAACAGAGAACACCACTTGTCCGTCCCAACCCTGTTCTCATAGCATCCTAGGAAAGAGAGGATGGACCAAGGATGTAAAAGAGAGAGGAAGGCACCACATCGCCCTCATTCTTGTAATTCAGTCTCCACCAGTTGACTCAGTGGCCAAGCCAAATGGAGTGCATTTTCCCTGTCTCTTACAGTCCATACCCCTCCTTGTCACATGGACAATTGGTCCACAATTTTCATTCATGATATTTCCCTTCAGGTTCAATATTCAGAACCAGCACTCCAGCTCCATCCACAGGTAAGGTCTGCTTCCATCTTTGATCCATTCTCTGGGAAAGTTGTGCTACATTTGGCCATAAGACTGAGAGACAGGAGATCTTAAGATCACAGATTTAGAGCTGGCAGGAAACTTCCGGGTCATCTAGTCTAACTCTTGCCCTCATTTTGCAGTTGACACTGATGCCCAGAGAGAAATGGAGGCCCAAAGTCACATAGGTAGAAAGCAGGACAGTTAGGGTGGGAACCCATGCCTTCTTTCTCCAAATCCAACATTCTTTCCACTGCATTGAGTTGCCAGAGGGATAGGTTTATGGCTAAAGGTTTCCTGAAGGACTCATTAGTGAATTCAGTCTGCTGAGTTTTCCTTGGAAGAAGGACTAGGATAGTTTCAGCTGGGTGTCCTTAATGATGATGGTGATGGTGAACATTATTATCATCTATCATTTAGATAGTACTTTAGGGTTCACAAAGCACTTTAGAGATATTAGCTCATTTGAATGAACACTTCTGAAGTTCAGGCATGGAGATGTCTCTCCTTCCTACATAGTAGCCTGTGTTGGTCATGATGTTGAGAGGTGGGAGAGGCTGAGCAAAGTTTGGAGGGTTCCCTCATGGATGCAATTAATAGGGACAGGACACGTAATTTTCCTCCTAAGGACAACACCACCTGGGCATCGCTGAATGTGCTGAATGACACACAGGCAGCATGTCAGACATCTCTCTCTCTCTTTTTTGTAGCCAGGGTCTTCAGCCTTGATACTTTTACCATAAATTTCACTGTCACCAATCTGAAATATGCAACAGGAATGAGCCACTTTGGCTCCAGCAAATTCAGTTCTGTGGAGAGTGCCCTGGAGTGCCTGGTGAGACATGACCCCCTTCCGTCCCCTCTGCCAAGCTGCTTTCCTCAGCCTTGGTATTGAGGCTTGATCTAGAAGGCCCACTCTCTCCTTTTACTTCCAGCTTGATTCTGTCTTTACAAAGACCAGCCTTGGCTCTCATTATACTGGATGCAAGCTGACCTTGCTGAGGTGAGATTCCTGGGAGTCAATGGCCTCATCAGGCATGGTACCGATTGGTGGTACCTTCAGAAAAGAGGTGTCTCCACCCTGCTATAACATAGGTCCTGGCAGATTTTCCAATTCCTCAATGAATTTATCCACATCCTCTTGCCACATAGTCTCAGGGAGGGGAATTTTTTGGCAGTTCCCTACAAATTCTCTAAAGTAGACCCGGTGAGACACAACACTGTTGCCTCATTTAACCATCATCCATTTCAGTGTTTGCCTCAGGCTTCTCAAGGGTGGCTGCCCCCTGACTTCAGGAGTTATCAGATTTTTCAGGTCCCATTTCAGGCTTCTGATGCCTTTTTTGCCTTCTTTCCCAGGCCTTTGAAGGAGGGAAAAGCAACCGGAGTTATTATTGCTTGTGCTCGTTGGATAGATCCTGCCAGCCCTGACCTAGATAGAGAAAAACTGTATTGGGAATTCAGCAGCCAGACCTGCTGGCTCACGAGACTGGGACCCTACATCTTAGATGAGGAAAGTCTCTATGTCAATGGTGAGTGCAGTGCTTTGCATATAGTAAGTGCCTGATACCTGCTTTTTAATCCATCTATCCATCCATCCATCCATCCATCCATCCATCCATCCATCCATCAATCCAATGGTAAGTAGCCCAGGTCTTCAAATGAACTTCTTTCTTTTAGTTCCTCATTTCAGGGGATTGGGACATGTGTCTCCAATTCACTATCTTTTTTTGAGATCCAGATTTCTTTCTCTTGCTTACTCAGTATCCAAGGATGCTACGACTCAGACTTCTTTCATGCTTTTTCTTGGGAAGTTATCTGTTCTCTGAGAATGTCTTAAGCCAGCACATAATTAGAGACTAAGGTATCAATGAGATCTTTGGAGAGGAGGAAATTTTTGTGCTGCCTGAAGTGTATAACCAATCCCTGACCTGGGTCTTCTTCCCTTTAATAACAGCACTAGCTCTGACACTTTTACTCCCCTACTTCCCGAACCTATGGACCCCAGATCTTCTCTCCTCAAGCTTTTGTCTTTCCTCACAAGGTGTCTCTCTCTCTTTCTCTCTCCAGGTTATAATCATCTAGCCTGCACCAAAATCCGTAAGTATTCAGTACTTCAATTTCCCCACACCTTTGGGGTCTCTATTGGGAAGGAAACAGCTAATTCACTCTACCCTTCATCCCCAACACTGAGTTGAGGGATGGATAGAGAGGAATAGAGAAGGAAGGATTGGGGTGGACATATTACTATCATGTTCAAACATTCTTGCTTCTGCCTCTAGCACCATGGTTCTCTCAGTTCCATAAGATTTAGTTCTGGGCCTCAGTTTTCCTTGGGCTGACCAAGCTTAGGATTGAGTTGACCCCAAAAAACTACAAATCAGTCATTGAGCTGAGTAGAGACATCTTCCTCAATGTTCTTCTGAAAACACTGCCATGGTGATGTGCTCTAGTGGGTTCCATTGAGAAAGCAGGAAAGAGCTTCCTAAACCTGGAGTCAGGAGATTTTGTTTCAAATCCTGATTCCAACATGCTTTGTGACCTGACCCTTCACAAATCACTTAAACTACCTCCTTAGATAATCATACACTTCCTGAATGATGGATTTTGTGTCACATTTTGTGGATGAATCATCAGTTTAGAGGATCAAGTCACTTAAACTCTCTAAGCCTCAGTTTCTTTCTTTGGGGGGGCAAGGCAAATCAGGGTTAAGTGACTTACCCAGAGTCACACAGCTAGTAAAGAGCCTCAGTTTCTTTACCTGTCAAATGGGAGTCCTAATGCTTGCTATGTCTACAGGTTGCTGTGAGGAGAAGGGGCATTGTAAATCTTAACTTGCTATAGAACTGGTAGTGGTGGTGGTGGTTGTCATGATTGTCATCATTCCTAATATTTCCCAAGACCCATTCCTTGGCCCTTTGTTATTCTAACTACAAAACTCCCTTGGAATGCTCTGTCAAAACCAGAGCTTCAATTTCCTCTCTGTGCTGAAGATTCCAAAAGTGTAATCTGTTTTCACATCAGTGCCAACTCTACATCACAAAGTCCCTCTGTCCATTTTCACTGGATCATGTTACTGCTGCTTGAAACAGTATTCCCAGTTGGAACTCTTCCTCATTCCTTCCCCATCCACTGATGTCCCTGACTATCATTTTTATCATTATTTTCCCCTTCACCTAGGCTTCCACCCTGGAAGTCATCTCTGATTCTTCCATCTGCTTCCTCTCTATCCAGTCAGTCACATGAATTCTTCTGAAGAATTACATCTACGACCCAACCCTTCTCCATTGCCCCTAGCACCATACTGTAGTCTGGATTCTCATAGTCTCACTCTTAAATTGCTGCATCATCTTCTAAACTGGCTTGTTCTGATTCCAGGCTTTCCTCCTTCCAACTCATTTGACATCTACTCAAAATATTTCAATATTTAACAAGCATTTTGTAAACATTTATGATATGCTCCAAACACTATTCTAAGTGATGGAAATACAAAGAAAAAGTGAAAATAATTCTTATTCTCAAGGAGTTTACCTGATACCAGGAGATTCATATATATATGAAATTACATACAAAATATATACAGACTTTATGGAATGTAATCTAAGAGGGGAAGGCATTAACCATAGGAGAGGACAGGAAAGGCCTGCAATGGAAGGAGGCTGAGCCCTGAAAAAAGCAGGGGGTATAAGAGGCAGAGGTGAGGAAGGATAGCACTCCAGGTGTGTGGAGGCTTCCCTCAACCCCCCAGGGCTTAGGCACAGAGGGAGATCTATCCAATGCACTGAAGGCACTTCCCTAGATCTTTTCACACTCTGTGGGCTGAAATGCAGCACTGAGATTATCCATCTGCTATCCCTCTCTCTTGCTACAGGACTAACCCACCTCCTTAGACAATCACGCACTTCCTGGATGATGGATTTTATGCCACATTTTGTGGGTGAGTCATCAGTTTAGAGAATCCCAGTCACCTCAGACAGAGGAAGCACTTTGGAAATGGGTCCTCATCTGCACCCCAGCACCTATCCCAGCCTTCGCTGGTTGACATGCTTAGTCTGTAATTATCCTTCCATCACAGAATCTCAGAGCTTGAAACCTCAGATACTACCTAGGCAGCTACACAGATGGTGCAGTGGATAGAGTGGTGGACCTAGAGTCAGGAAGACTTGAGTTCACATCTTGCTAGATATGTGATCACTTAACCTCTCTGCCTCAATTGTCTCATCTGCAAAATGGGAATAATAAATAGCACCTATCTCCCAGGTTTCTTCTGAGGATAAAACAAGATAATATTTGTAAAGACCTCTATATACTTCAAAGTGCTCTAAAAATACTATTTCCATCATTATCTACTCCACCTAGTCTTGAAAAGAGAATCTTGACCATGACACACTCATCAAGTGGTCACCCAGCCCTGGTTTGAAGGCCTCTGTTGAGTGAGAATCCACTGCTTTCCCAGCACACTGAGCCTAAAGTTCACTTTCACTCATTGCTTCTGGTCCTTTGAAAAAGGACCTAGGAAAAGAGCTATCCTTTGCCCCTTCCCCAAGTCTTTTCTTCTCTAGGCTAGGCTTCCCCAGTTCTTTAAACCAATACAGAGTTGAATTAAGACCCCTCATCATTCTGGGGGCCCTCCTCTCAATTCCCTCTGGCTTATTCATGGTCTTCCTACAATGTAGGGACCAGAACTAAGCATAATACTTCATGTGTGGTCTGTGCATGGCATGGCATTTATTTAGTGCTTACTATGTCCAGGCACTGTGCTAAGGGCTTTACAATCATAATCTCACTTGATCCTCATGACAACTCTGGAAGGTAGGTACTATAATTATCCCCATTTTCCAGATGAGATAACTGAGGCAAATACATGAAGTGACTTGCCTAGGGTTATACAGTTGGTTAAGTGTTTGAGGCTAGATTGGCACTGAGGTCTTCCAGACTCCCAAGTTCTATCCACTGTGTTTTAAAACACTATAGAAATGCTATCTGGGAAAATCATAATGATACTATTACTATTAAAAGCTCTATGAGGGCATAATAAGCTCTATTACGTACTCTATGACCACATCTTATCTAAACTTTGTATTTTCTCCAGCGTTCACCATAATCCATATTATTATGTCAAAGATGCATATTGTATCTTATATACAAATTAGTTTTAGACATTTGCCTGAGGATCAGAGGGGTCAAGTGACCTGTAGAGGTAAATCCAGGTCTTCTTGACTCTAAGCCCAGTCCTTGACCCAGGACAGCTTGCTACTGCTCTACTCCGCACACAAGAGGTACTAGACAAGATAAAAACTTGGGCGTCTCTCTCCCTCCCTTACTGTAGCCATGAAAGCCAGCCTGAA